ACTACAAATACACGAGACGTAAAACATTTGGTCCCCTTCAGCCACTTGGTCAAAGCAGAAAGAAGGCACAGATTGCGATATGTTAACATTTCGATTGTTCTCGTCAGTCGCATACACAATACAAGCAGAAACACATACACAATTATATACATGGCAAAAGATTGGCAAACCAATCAAAACGTGGAAATCAAATCCAAGGCAATCGGATTGATTGCCTCAACAGTTTTTGTGCACATAGCACTGGTTGATAAGCCCTGATAAGCAACGCTTCACTGATTGCCAACATTATCGGGTTCCGGTTACGTAATAGCACTTTGAACGCAGTCTTGGGGTCCACATTGTGACCAGTTGTCACGAGGTGCTTAGTGATAGATGATGACAGAGTCCGGTTCATTCTGAGAGGCGCTCCATTTTGTTGCGTCATCATTTGCTCGACCCACTTTGGCAAATGTTCAGCCACTCTCTGAGCTAACCGGCGGTTAGTCCTGCCTATGTAAACGTTACTGCAACTGCAGGTGAACTGATAGACCACATGCGAAGGCGAACTAGCCGAAGGGTGGCTCTGATGGTCATGAAGAACAAGTTTTCGAGTCGTGTGTATGAGACGCAACTGTGCAGTCGTGTACGTGCGCGTTAGAGCGGACCTGAGCATGTGTCCGATGTCGTTTGCCACCTGGTCTCCCTTGAAGGACAGGAACAGATAAACAGCTTTTTTCTCTGCCGTTAGCACCGACAGTTTCTTTTTGGGGAGTCTGCTATGCACTTGGATGAACTTTTCAGGATAACCATTTGCCACCAAGGTCCTATGCAGAAACTTCTCTTCGGCTTCCAGTGTATCCGGACTACAAATACGTCTGGCCCTGTAGAACAGCGTTTTCACTAGGCCGCGTTTGTATGCAACCGGGGCAAAACTGGAAAAGTGAAGGTACTGCCCACTCCAGGTTGCCTTGCGGTAAACGGTGCGCTGCAATGTACCTCCGTCCCGCCTCTTAATGAGGATATCCAAAAATGCCAGGGAGCCGTGTTGCTCCATCTCGTGGGAGACTGATAAATTAGGGTGAATTGAATTTAAAGTGGTTAACAGGCGAGTAAAATGTTCGCTGTTGGTGAACACCAGAATGTCATCTACATACCTTTTGTATAACCTTGCTTCACCAATACTGGCAGCGACTTGTCTTTCAATCAAGCCGAGAAAGATATCTGCCAAGACTGGTCCCAGAGGGCTACCCATGGCGACTCCGTCGATTTGCTTGTATGCTCTCCCCTCAAACTCAAAACGTACATTCTCTGTACACAGTAGAATCATATCCCGCAAATATTCCACAGGGAGACCCACATACATGTTTTGACTCAGGAGGAAATGACACAACTCATCAACTGCTTCTTGAAGTGGCACGTTTGTGAATAGAGAATCCACGTCAATAGAGTACATTACTTCCGAACCCAGTGAGAATTGTTCTAGTGTCTCCGCTAGTTCAAATGAATCTTTCAGGCAGTGCGTAGCCAAGAGTTTACGCACGGGATCTAAGAGTTTCGCCAGCCACCGGGCAACGTTGTGATAAGGCGAGTTGTTCATGCACATAATGGGACGCAGTGGGTTGCCTGGCTTGTGTACCTTAGGCGCGCCCCTCATTCTCGGTGTCTGCGTCCCAGTCGGTTTCAGCTGTCTGTACTGTGACTCAGTGATGTATCCGTGTAGCAAAAGGATCTGGAGTTTTCTGGCCACCTGTTTCTCCACCAAGATGTTATTCTCCGGTGTCGTATCTATCAGGAACTTATGTCTATCCTCCAAAATAGACTCCATTTTCGAAACGTAGTCATCCTTGTTCATTACTACAATACCTGATCCTTTGTCTGGCTGCAGGAAGATTACGTTTGCCATTTCTTTTAACTCTCTGCTTTGACCAAATACACGAGAACTTACTACATTTACAACGTCTAACCCAAACGGCCAAAATCAATGAAGAAAGACGGGTATTTAGAAATCCTGAGAAAGTACGTACAATGATGCAACTACTCAAAAGAAGGAACCCTAAACCACTTCAGGAAATTGAAACGTTGACTCTAGACGATGGTTCAATAACGCGCAACATCTCCTGTATATGCGAAGCTATGAACTCTAGTTTTGCCTCCTCTTTTGTCCCCAACACTCAGCTATTTCATCTACCACTTCCAAAAAGAACGACCGAACTATACTGCAATATCCCTGTGACGTTGAAAGATGTGCAAAGTGCCATCGCAGCCATAAAACCATCAACTCGTCCAAGTCCAGATAGCATCTCCCCAACTGTTATAAAACTCGGAGGAGAAAACATCGCTCTATTGTTATTAAACATCTTCCCACTCTCTCACTACCGGCTGCTTTCCAATTCAATAGAAGCAATCCATTATAATGCCTAAGCATAAGGGTGGCCCGAGAAATCAAGTGTCAAGCTACCACCTCTGCTTCTTCCAAAGTCCTAGAGAGAATAGTCAAGAAGAACATCGTTCAATATCTTACAAGACTGGATTTGATCAACCCCCCACAGCATGGTTTTCTCTCAAAACGCTCCTGCGTTACATGCCAACTACGATTTCTCGATCACGTCACGACTATGATTGACAGAGGAATGGTAATTATTATAATTCTGTTGGACATGCAAAAGGCGTTCGACCGCGTGCCGCACAAGCCACTGCTGTCTGCTCTAGAGTCATATGAAATTGGAAATCCTCTGCTTAACTGGTTCGACTCATATCGAAACGGTCGAACTCAGATAGTTACAACCGGTTAGCAATATTCTACACCGAAACCAATAACCAGCGGTGTCTTCCAGGGAAGTGTGCTCGGACCACTCCTTTTCTTAATCTACGTAAACAACATATGTGACCCGATCAAACATGGACACCCATTTCTGTTCGCAGATGACGTCAAACTGGTTTGCTCATTTCATCCAGACCAACCACATATATGTTTGGGGAACATCTGTGAAGACCTATCCGCACTAAATATAGCTAGTGAGTGTTCATTAATGAAGTTCTCCGCAGTGAAATCCCAAGTACTTGTGTACAGATGCCGCATCCCAGAAGGCTCTATCACACTTGCCGGAAACGTGATCCCAACGTCTGATTCAGTTCGAGACTTAGGAATTAGGTACTCCAACTCTTTTAATTTCTCCGAACATGTGCTTTATCAGGTTGCGAAAGCAAGGCAGCTATGCGGATATATCACCAGAACTTTCTCCCTACCTGAAGCACGACTTGAGTCATTCAAGACAATGGTACGACCGACTCTGGAATATTGTACTATCGTTCACAGCCAATTGAGAAAGAAAGACAGAACGGCTCTGGAAAATTTCCAAGGATCATTTACCAACCTGGTCATGGGGCGTTGCTCAAACCTGACTTATTATGATCGCTGTCGAAAACTCCAACTGGAACCACTTTGGCTGAGACGCTTAAAGAACAACCTCGTTCTGTTCTACAATAATATAAACCAACGAATTTACGCAGACAGCACAGCACTTGAATTACGGAAGACTACAGTTTACACCCCACGTAATGGCGGCTACTTGATACGCACAAACCTTTCAAGTCATAAAACTCGGTCAAATTTCTTCTTAGTGGGATACACTGATCTGTGGAACAAACTACCCCTACAGATACGCATGAGTGCAAGCTATGTCACGTTTCGAAATTCCCTACAGACGTTCCTCACTATATCAATGGTGTTGAAGGTCTATGACTCACAGAAAACATTGACAGAAGCTGGTATAAAACATGAGCAGATATTCGCTTACAACTAGCTTGCCCACTGCATGTCTTTACCTACAATATTAAATCCTGTGTCTGTGCAGCCAAGTATCCCCTCCCTTTCATTATCTACCCCAGAATCCCACAAACTAGAATATGACGATACAAATATGCGTAAATTTTACATATTAGATGCTCGGGACTAGGACCCGAGGAAAGAAGTCATGATCGGAAATTCTGTTATTAAACTTTTCTTTAGCATTATGATTTACGCCGCATAAACCAAGAAACTTATTAACTAAACAAATGACCGCTCCCTGTTATGGGGTTGTGTGCCGTACGTGGGTGAATATATACATGGTTGGCGGCATCCGGTTTCGGATTTGCCTGTCACTGTGGCAAGCCACAGGACGCCTGCGCCTACAGAGGGACCATGGATGGCTTGCGCTGCACCACCCACAGCTCCAACCACATACCCCATATCCAGTGTAAACCCGAAGGAATAAGACCGGGAGGCATGCGGATGGGAACCACGTTTCATCAACGGAGCCGGCCCACACTCCTTCACAGGCAAACACAAGCACGCTGTATTTGGGGAATCAAGCGCACGCAATGCGGTGGCTGGATCGTAGTCCGCTCCACACTGAGTGCATGGAACCGCTCTTTGAGCCTAGCACGGCCACAAGAACCGTGCACCCCGTCCCCTCCAGCAACGACCAACTGTCTCCTGGAGCCAGTATGAAGGATGTAGTGGGTAATAGACAGGTAGACACCTTGTCAACATACACATCAAGCGCAACCATACCAGGGATATCAAACAACAGCCATTCACTTTAAACGACAAGCTGAAATAAAATAAATCCAATAATGCATACAGATACGGTGGCATAACTCTTCACCAAATTACCATATGAAGTAATTTGGTTAGCAACAAATCGGTGATAAGTAAGAAATGTCCACAAGTTACTTAAAATGCTACAAACGCAACAAAATTACCGAAGATAAGCGCAATTAGTATAAGCAACGTGGCCAGTTAATAGAACATTATTCAGGGAGGCAGAACAAACCAGACATATATATATATATATATATATATATATATATATATATATATATATATATATACCAAACCGAGACATAAGGTGTGAGTCATATACGCCTATGAATTATTGAAAAGAATGACCGTAGAGGGTTTCAGATTGGATTAGTTGAGCGGTGAACCAAATACGAGTAGAGTATACGCCAATAATAGCAAGGTGTCTGACACATACCTTCGTGGGACAGGGAATGGGCGTCCGTGACTGGTCTGTAAATCCAACTGTTTTCAGGAAATCCGCTTTGGGTGAGTGCATATAAGGAGCGTTAGTTTGTTCGTTGTAGAGATTAGAATCCAGTGGAGTTGTGCTTGCATTCTCATAGATAGGAACTTTTGTAAGAGCCTCTACGAGGCTCTGCAAGGCGACCAGACTGTCAGCACAAGTATTCAACCGGAGTAGGTTATCAGTAGCACGGATATCAATGCGGTTAATGAACGACTGTGGCACTTTGGAGTTGATCTGCAAGATAAATGGGATAATAGTGAGACAAATATACTCTAATTGTCGTGGCGAGTGGGCTTAAGAGCAATTATGCCAAAGGTGCTTAATGGAATCGGGTGCGGTGTCAATTTGGATAGTCACCGCATTGATTAATTAGCAGGGGAAAATGACAAGAAATATCACTAACAAAGGTCACGACAATACGCTGGAAAGAGGCTGAAACCGCGCGCTGAGGAAGCATGCAGAAGGGGCTGACAGGAGAGACAAGATGATGAAAGCTTTATGCTGTTTTATACAGCCTGGTACACGTTCGCGCAACTTGAAAGCGGTAGTTGATGATGAATATAAAGCATATTTACAAATATTACCTTCAAAAGAGGGATTTTAATCTGAAAAATAAAACAGTAATCCCAATAGCTTTACATAAGCACAATGGAGACGAATTTCTTAAGAACCACTTAGCGACCTATACTTGTAACCGAGGAGAGGAAGAGAGATTTCAAGGCAAGTAGTGTCTCACATGACAAAGGTTAAAATCCACCACTGCTCTGACAGTGGGTCGAATTGACATACAAGTGTGCAAATACATTGTTCAGACATACGGCTGCATGCATAGTGTGACCTTCTATGGGTAATAATAGTGGCTACCAATGCTCCATTATTCAACGATCCTAGGAGAGCCAAGAGACGAAGGAGGTGGAACATGCATTGATGAAAAATGTGTAAGCGCACCCATTAACGGATTGAGAGCCAAGGGATTTAAGAGTAGGGATCCGAAAGATTGGAAGAACTGGGGTAAAATGGATTTAAGAAATGGCTGTCGGTGAACCGTACGGCGTTCCGAGGCAGAGGGGGAGAAGCCGTGTAGAAAACATGGTTGCGAAGTCGGGTATAATGATCGGATATTTTAGCGCCCTGTGGATTTCAGTTACATGATTAGAAGACAGGAACGTCATGAGTGAAAAACAGGTTGCTGCAGCTGATTTAATTGCATCTATACCATTTCTCAACTGATTACATCCTTAACGCAGTTGCTTTCATCCGTAGTGCAGCGGCTTTCATCCTTGGCGAAAATATCATAATCCGATAGCCATGAAAATTGCAACCACGACGCCCTGAGTGGTCAACCGCTAGCAGCCAATAGCAGTCGGTCTATATGCCGCCATGGCAATTTAACCTAGACGCAGCTGGGGCGTACAGACATCAGTTGATGTCTTGCGACACGGACTTCAGCCATCCGCTCGTCTAGGCGCGCACCGGCATTGGACAATAGGGAGGTGGAAACACGGACTTGCTCACGAGTCCCAAACGGACAGCTCGTCTGTATTGTGTCGCCAAAAACTGCACCAACCGTGTCGGGAGTGAAAACACTGGACGACGAGCTACAACGTGTGTATTCTGGTGAGACCACGAACGGCGTGTGTGTCGGGCAATCAAGGTCACACTCACATGCGCTTCGATCGGTGCGATCAATGATTCAATCATTAGGTCTAGCGTTAGCAGTGTTGTGCGCGTGATAGATTGAGCGAAACGTGTGCGTGTCGGGAACGCAGTGGACACATGCATGGGTACAATTCAGTGAAGTGAGAAAGTAAACAATGGAATACTAAACAGTAAAATGGCTACAACAAACATGGTTCACATAATGAACGGCTGCATACTGCTGTCCTAACAGTCTGCTCGCGCAAGCAAGAGGTGTGACCCCGTGTTCCGGACATGTTCCCTGCCACGTCTGCGTTCGTCCGGAACTGCGCTGGCTTCGAAGTAACTCTAATTCCTAGGCTTTGGGGTTTGGGGTAAGTTAGTGAGCAAGCCCGTGCTCATACCCCCTTAATGTCCAATGCTGGTGCGCACCTGGATGAGCGGATGTCTGAGCTCCGGGTAGCAAGGCATCAACTGATGTCTATACGCCCCAGCTGCGTCTAGGTTAAAAAAGGCATACCGGCATATTGTCCGTATCCTGTTGGCAGCTAAAGCTTGATCACTCAGGGCGTCGTGGATGTAAGTTTCGTGATTATCGGATGATGTCTTTTCCGCTAAGGATGCAAGCCTCTGTACTACGGATGAAAGTGATTGCGTTAAGGATGCAATCAACTGAGAAATGATATAAAATGATTAGTTCTAATGTCAAAATGCTTCCTAACCACCTGCAGTTCAAATGGACCGAGTACACCGCCAGGATTACCCGGACGGAGAGTGAACCTAATTTCACTTATCTGAGTTTGTAGTTGAAATGGTTGACATCACTGTCATGTTTGCGTGAAGTTACATCCGACGCTGATAAAAGTTGCGCTATGAATCTTCACGGAAATGTAGCCCCTCCCAACAATGTTGTTTTAGTGGAGCGGTTTCTTCTCAGGTGCATTTCTTGCGAAAGGCATCACTATTTAGGTCAATGTGACGCCAAACGGTTATGTCAATCATGTTTAGAGCCAAACCCCGATCATCACAGCCATTGTTCCTGCAGGGAGTATGGGTTAAATGGCTGTAAACTTTTGCATCATCAGCTACTCCACCTTGATCACAGTGACAGGAATGCCATAAAATTGGACGCCGATAGTGTTGATTTTGCATTGCACCATATAGAAACCGACTGTATCCATACCAGTATACATCCCCGGTTCTACTTGCACCGTTCAGAAACTAACATTGATAGTAGGTCGGATACTTCATTAGTGGATTTAAACTTACTGCACGAGATCAGGGTGCAGGGTATCGTGGAGACGCTGAACATTTATACGATTACCGTTCGATGTCAAATGGAGTCGCAACTGGCGAGTATAACAGCCCACTAGATGGATATTGGCAAGACAGTTGAACTAAATGCAGTCAGATCAGTCAACAATCCTCTGAAGCAATTGGCGTGGACACCCGAAGGAATGAGTTACACAGATGGGATTATCTATCTAACTAGCTATCAGAAGTGAAGAGAAACGTGCGACTTTTGAGTGGAAGCGATAACTCCTAGCTCCATTCAGCTTTGGAGCAGAGACGTGGTAGTCCTAGAGATACGCACGTCAGCAGAACTCCACTAGGTTAGATTGGGTTAGTTCCAGCTAACTTATCAGTATCTGTCGAAGATCAGTCTAAATCGGTTCTAGGGGAGTGCCCCGAGGAAATTCGTTCAGTTCCTTTTGCTAACACTGACACTTGTCATTCGATAGGTCGTACTTTTGAAACCAACAACTATACTGAAGCTTCTCGCAGTCGTTGACAAAGCTAAATTATGAGTGCCAGGAACCCCGAGAATACGTTTCAACAGGAACTACAGTCTTTCTACTGATGTCTAAACCCTCAGCATCATTCATTGTGACTGTTACCGTTATTAGTATACTTGTTGCGGTGATATGTCACGTAAGACTGTGCGGTTGCAGGAGCCAGATGCCCGTGGGAGAACTAACCATAGTAGTTCTTCATGCGCTTACGGTCAGTATCCTACCGTAAGATGATTCAACTACCGGCGGTGATGTACCTCTCTTCGAACACTGACAACATTATTGAGGAAAGGAATTAATTGGACTAGCTACAGTGTGGAATAAGTGTGCAAACACCCATCGAGATGAAGAATAGGGTTTTGGAATATCGGTTTCCCAAAAGCCATGACAATGTTGTGACAAAAGCTGTTGCCCGGATTATGATTTCTGCATCAGAGTCCCTCAGGAAGATAAGAAGCTTCTATACAAGATAACAAGTGTGAATTTGAGGCTGGGCCTTACCGTGTTGCGATAGCTTGCGTGCTTCAGAGATCCGTTGAGCTATGCTGGGTGGTGGTTTTTGCACCTTCAGAGCCATTCACATCAGATTGGTCAATGGTTAGAGGCCAGACAAACTCAGCCTCCTGGTCCTCCAGATTGCGGGTTTGAATGAGGGTGGCTCTTTATTCCTTAAAACCGACTCCTTGTAGCCCACCGCCAAACCCGCTGCCTTGCGATCAGGTTTTTGAAACGAAGGCTTTGGTTGAGAACCCTAATCGTTCTCCTGTCTATGCCTGGGCAACCTAACAGTGTCCTGCCCATGCAATACTAGGAATGTTTCCTGCAACAAGTACTTGATGCTGTGGCAACCGCACAGGATAAGCAACAATGATCTATCTGCTGCATCGAGCAGGATGGATGGGGGATTAGATGCCACTGCTCAAGCCTTCCCATCTTCTTATTCCCCCTCTTATGATTTTTCATCCTTATCGTCCCGTTCGAGCTTCAAGGATCGGTCAACATGTAGCACTTGTCAGAACATTAGAGACTCTCTCGGTCGATATCTCCTGCTTATCGGAGACCCGCCTGTGCTTACTTTACGAACCCCTTCAGGTGAAACTAGCAGCACTTTCTCATTGCACTATCCGGTGATGATGCAGATCCGAGCACCGGATTGGCTTACTCTCTACTGTAGCAGAGTTCGACACCACAAGAAATATAATAAATAAAGCTTTAAATGAGATAAAGTAGTCGAAATAAAAGAGTAGCAGTTAGGTTAAAAGAAAGTTGCGAGTTAAAGAACTTGTGCGTCGTCAAGATGAGATCGAAATCCAAACTGAATGACAGACGAGAAGAAGGAGCCATGTTCGAATCCATATCGGAGTTTCCTAACAGTGTAAAAGATCTACCGTGTGTTTCTCCAAAAAATGTGCTCACACGTTCATCAAATCAGGAGCATTAGGTCACTCGAAAGTATATAATCATACGACTCTCTACGGAGGACCCATCTCGGCTTGTTGATAAGTATGAATGCCGAAGTACTAAGTTATGTCCCCACAAAACCTAAAACACATTATATATATATATATATATATATATATATACATAAAGACAAGTGTGAAGTGATATGCTTATCAAGTTAGGATACACCTACCTTCCATTTTTCGAATCGTTGTGTGTTGCAAGTAGAGTTAACCCAACGCCACTACGAACCCATTATTTATTCAAACAAAACTAGGATAACTGAAAAACATTCGCTGTGTTTACCACTTGTGTGACCAGGAACTAACCCGTTGCGAGACCCGCGTCGGATAGGAGAAACAGCGTACTTCCAAGTGGTCCAGATCAGCGACACAGACACAATCAGCCAGGCGCAAGGAGCCAATCCATTTGAGAAAACGTGACGAAGGTGACGCAGTAGTCTTGGGTTCGGGTGTTCCAATGCTCTACAATAAAAAGATAAGCAGTTAAAGGTACGTGAGCAAACTGGTCGCACTACTGAGAAAAAAGGATACAATAAATAAATAAATAAATAAATAAATAAATTTGCATCTATCGACAGACGGTACACGGCCCCATAAGTGGGGCACTAAATTGCATAAAATTTGGCGTCGCTCTGACGGAAGCCACTTTCGACAGCAAGCATATCTAGGGACTTCCATTACCAATAGTAAAAGTTAAAAAGACTTCGATATTAAAGCGAGACAAGCTAGTGCACAATTCAACTAACGGATTAGGTTAGAATGCGAAATATCCAAACAAAAACAATCACGTAGTATGGCTGTAGAAAAATAAAAAATCAATGACACTTCCATCCTATTTTGCCGAAGTGAAATTGAATGTTCCATATCTAAAGGAAGTTAGGCTATTCACGGGATCACCTAGTGGTAAATTAGTAAAATGAAAAACAAAGTAAACAAAACACAGTACCATTTGGCTCACCTTGCGGTAGTTCGGGCACAAGAAAAGAGTAGCGTTGTCTAAAAAAGTCATGATCAATGTCCCCGGACCAGAGGAGCCGGTAGCATGGGGCTCGTTTATTGGACTGGTCTCAGATGCCGTATTGACTGTCACACCGATGGATTCACAGCCCAAAAATGCACGGACTGATTCAACGTGGAAAGCGGAATGGTTCAGCGTAGAAGGAGGATCAGCATACTGAGCTGACCAGGTCAAGGCCACGCGCTCCAGATGAAAGTGCTGAACGAGCAGCGTCTCAGGTGGTTGGTATCCGGGCAACAGTTGATTCAAAAGGGGAGCAGAAGGGGTTTGAAAAATTTGCAAAAGCCCACGCAACCAAACGGGGAGAGCATCGTCCGGTCTTGAACGACCTTCCAAATGCGGCCAATGCACTAAACAAGCGTCTTGAAGCCTGAAAGCGCAGTGGAATTCGTCTCTGGGCACTGGAAAAAATGGATTAAATGCTCATGAAGAGTAACGTGTAACACGAGCCACATTCATTCGCCTACTTTGAGTGGATGTCCCAACCGAACACAATGTGGTGCCAGTAGCACGTGTTTGTCAGTAAAAACAAGTTATTAGTAAGCAAAACAAAAGTCCACAATTGACCGGAAGGACTGAAAGTGATTAAACGATTATAATTTAACTTGAAACGGTGAAAAACCGGTTCATTTTTGATAAAAACTAGAAGATAATCATCCATTAGTGCTCAAAAACTGAAGCGACCACTATAAGAATGTAGAAATATCCAGCTAAACCAGTTGAGACAAAATGTACGAGATCAAATTTCCGTGTGCAATAGTGAAACAGATAACGGGATAAGTAGCAGAAAGCTGATAATATATTTACCCACAGTACCCCTGACTTTCTCTTGAGGAAGCCGTGCTGCTCCGCCCATACCAAGTTATGAGCGACTAAGTATCCACAAATTCGGCTCCTGGTAAGCTTTTGCAGACATTTAAGCATAATACTTGTGAGACTGACAGGTCTACAGTTGACAGGGACATATCTAAAGTCCAATTCGTGTGTTATTACAACAGCTGCCTTCTTCCAGTCTTGCGGCAACCCACTTTCCCGAAGTGACATGTTAAACTGATCCAAGGCAGGAAGCCGGAGTATATTAGCGAGTGACTTGACAATCGCAGGATGTGCATTATCAGTCCCAGCCGATTTGTAGAGGCCAAACTTGCAAAGACATCAAGGACCTCCGACCTAGTTAATGCCATCGCAATGAGGCTGGACCTTACCGTGGTGCGATGGTTTGTGTGCCTCAGTGATCCATTGAGCTATGCTGGGTGGTGCTTTTGCACCTTCAGAGCAACTCATACCAGATTGGTCAATGGTTAGAGGCCAGACAAACTCAGCCTCCTGGTCCTCCAGGTTGGGGGTTAGAATGAGGGTGGCTCCTTATTCCTTAAAACGGACTCCTTGTAGTCCATTGCCAAACCCGCTGCCTTGCGGCCAGATTTTTGAACCAAAGGCTTTGGTTGAGAACCCTAATCGTTCTCCTGTCTAGGCCTGGGCAACCTGACAGTATCCTGCCCACGCAATACAATGAACCTTTCCCCAAACAAATTGCTGATGCTCTGGCCACCGCAGAGGATAATCAACGGTGCCCTATCTGCTGCATCGAGCAGGGTGGATAGGGGTTTGGATGCTACTGCTCAAGCCCTCCCATCTTCTTATTCCCCTTCTTGCGCTTTTTCACTCTTATCGTCCCTTTCCAGCTTCACTTTTATCCCCCTGTTTTCAACCCCCCAATTCTCGGCCCTCCCCCACCTTGCTTCAATAGTCGCTTGTCTTTTAGTTTCAACTCACAGGTGAACGCAGAGCGTCATTCCTGCACTGTCAACAGGCCCATGTCCAAGCAAGCGACCCATTCCAGTTCATCGGCTTCCATTTGGAGCCCTCGATCTTCCTTCAGACTGGCATGCCTCAATGTTCGCACATTACTTCAGATCGGTCAACAGGCAGCACTTGCCCGAACATTAGAGACCCTCTCGATCGATATCTGCTGCTTATCGGAGACCCGCCTGCAAGACTCGAGCTCTGTACTCACTCTGCAATCCCCTTCAGGTGACACTAGCAGCACTTTCTCATTGCGCCTATCCGGTGACGATGCAGCTTCGGGAACCGGCCAAGCCGGTGTTGGCATTGCCCTGAGTCCCCGGGCTGAAGCTGCTCTGGTTGATTGGATTCCAATCAGTAGCCGGATGTGTGCGGTCCGATTGGATGGCTCGTTCAAAGCTTCCAAGTCGCGTGGGACTAACAGGTGTCTATTCATCATCGCTGCCTATGCACCGACAAACTGTAGCGATGACTCGGTAAAAGACGACTTCTATCACCAACTGAACCAACTCCTTCGCCACAGAAGAAGCTCAGACACTGTAGTGCTGGCTGGGGATCTGAACGCTCAAGCTGGAAAATTATTCACAGATGAGCTGCATCTGGGCGGCCAACATGGTATAGGCTCCCGTAATGATAACGGTGAGCGGTTACTTCATTTGTGTGAGGATGCTCGCTTATTTCTTGCGAGCACTAATTTCCGACACAGCACCCGCCGGAGGGTGACTTGGCGCCCACCAGCCTCGAACAAGCTATGGACGCAAATCAATCACATTGCTATCAGTTACCGCTGGAGAGGATGCGTACAGAACTGTCGCTCGATTTGGAGCACATGTGTTGACACCGATCATGCACTTGTATGTGCTGACCTGCGGATGCGCTTTGGCGGACGCCCGCGACGATGTTGTGAGCGCATTGACACCGACAGACTGGTGAGGCCAACTGTTCTGAACGCCTATCAAATTACGCTGTCATCCGAGTTGGATAAACGCTCACCGGATGCAATTGAAGCTCACTGGTCTCATATGTAACAGGCCTTATTAGCAGCATGCAAATCCTCATGTGATGTGTCTAATCGCCAACATGAACATTGGGTCTCTTCACAGTCTCTGGAACTTAAAGATGCTCGCCGGCATATTCCGGCTGGAAGCGAACACAATGAAACTCGCAAAGAGCTTCGGGCGAAACTCCGTGCTAGCCTGAAGAGAGACCGCGAACCCTGGTGGTCTCGTCGTGCAACAGAGAAGGAAATGGCCGCTGCCCTTGGTAACCATCGTGAGTTATTCCGTCTTATACGGGAAACGGGCAGCAGGAGAGCTGGTGTTAGTGAAACTATACGTGACGAGAGTGGACAACCTATCCACAACTTATCAAAACGCCTGGAACGTTGGGCTGAGCACTTTGAAAGGCAATTTAATCGGTCGGAATTGTTAGATTTCTCGCCAACCAGTGATCGCCCTGCTCCGTGGGCTGTTCCTTTGGATCCACACTCTCGCTCAGAAGTCGAACGTGAGATCGGACTGTTGAAGTTAAATAAGGCCGCGGGATCTGATGACCTTCCTCCAGCCCTCTTCAAATTCGGGGGACCTGCTCTTGTGGATGCTTTACACGAGTTACTAGTGAGACTGTGGGAGCAGGAAACTGTCCCAACTGATTGGAGCCGCTCCATCATAGTCCCAATTTTCAAAGGACGCTCACGATCGGAATGCGGCAACCATAGAGGAATCAGTCTGATCTCCATCGCCTCAAAACTGCTTGTCTCTGTCATCCTTCACAGAATGACTGGCAGTCGTGAAAGCCAGATTCGTGAAGAGCAAGCTGGATTTCGTCGAGGTCGTGGCTGCATTGAAAACATCTTCACCTTGCGTCAGTTGTTGGAGCACCGTCACATATATTGGCGGCCCACCGTTGTCATGTTCCTCGATATCAAAGGTGCATTCGATTCGGTGGATAGACATGCACTTTGGGACTGTCTACTCAGGAAAGGTGTACCTGAGAAGTATGTGAATATTATCTGAGCATTATATGCACGTAGCTCGGGCAGAGTGAGGGCTTACGGCAAGTTATCGTCGCCCTTTAATATATCCAGCGGCGTGAGACAAGGATGCCCGCTGTCACCTTTCCTCTTCAACTTCGCTGTTGACGAAGTTATGGAAATCGCGTTCACAGGACACGACTTAGAAGGTGTGGATCTGCTCGCAGGAGAACGACTTCTTGACTTAGAGTATGCTGATGATATTGCCCTAATCTGTGACAGCTCCCAGCCATGCCAAGCCGCGCTGGACAGATTAGCATTGGCTGTCCGTCACTTCGGGCTTTGCTTCGCACCCTCGAAGTGCAAAGCTTCTCCAAGATTGGTCTGGACCGCCTCCTTCGCTGACCCTTAGTGGGGATCAGCTAGAAGTCGTTCAGAAAGTAAACTACCTGGGAAGTTGTATCAGCGCCCGTGGGATTGAAGATGGAATCACGAATCGTATAGCAAAAGCTCGGGGCGCTTTCGCTAACCTTCGCCACTTATGGCGCCGGCGCGACATCACTCTCTCCCTGAAGGGTAGAGTGTACAATGCAGCAGCACGTTCGACCCTACTGTACGGTTGTGAAACCTGGCTGCTTAAAACAACGGACCTGAAGAGGCTAGTTACGTTCGATCACCGGTGCCTTCGTAATTTAGCTCACATTTGGTGGGAGCACCGCGTGAGCAACGAGCGTGTTCGACGCCTTGTTTATGACACAGGAAAAGGAACTGAACCGCTCAGCACCGTTATTTCACGCATCAGGCTCCGATGGCTCGGCCACGTGTTACGCATGCCAGCCCATCGACTTCCGCGACGTGCGTTGTTTGCGCGCCGTGAGTGTGGATGGAAGAAGAGGAGGGGTGGGCACGCGATGACTTGGTCGAGAGGAATGAAGGCCCTCACTTCTGAGGTGGCCTCAGTTGAAGCGTCTCGGCTCCCTGGTTGGGGTCCGAAAGACGATGAACACGTTTGGTTGGACACACTTGCTGATATGGCAAGGAGCCGACCTCAGTGGCGTTCGTGCTGTGAGTTTCTTTGTCCCACCCCATCCCTCTTAGCCTCCCCCTCCAACCACGATCTCATTATTTAGCCTTATGTAATTTTGCATAGTAATTTTTTTGATGCACAGCAGCCGGCTGGTAGCTTACCGGAACGATGCCCATCCGTTACCGGTAGCGCAGCCAGCTTGCACCAGTTGCATTTTTTTCTCATTTTTGTCTATGTATTGCGGCACAGTAGTTGAGGTGTTCCCCACCTCTAGCTAACGTGTATGATGATGATGATGACCTAGTTAATGGATTATTTGGCATCATACTCTCAACTTGACGATGAGGGTGCGAGGGGATAGGACACCGGATATTTGCACGATATACGTCCTGAAAGACGCACAGCAACACCTGTGCTTTCTTCGCATTCATTATTAAGCTACTAACTACCTTCCACAAAAAAGCCTTCAATTGTACATGACATACATCTTCGGTCTTGCTTTTGCATTTCGAGTTAACCTAAGCTCATAGCAATATTTCGCGCGTCTCTACAATTTAGCTGCCGAGTTCTGGCATTTCTCATAATGTAACTAACGC